CGGATGATGTTTCTTTCTATTCCGTTAAAAAGTACCAGTGGGATTTTGATGGGTATTGCATTAAATCTGTATAATGGTTTAGGTAATATGTTCATTTTAACTATGCTGATTCTTCCAATCCAGGAACCGGAATTATCTTTCCATTTCTTTGTATCTGCTTCAATTTCTTTTAATAGGGTCTTGTAGTTTTCTTTATATAGGTCCTTCACATGTTTCGTTAAATTTATTCCTAGGTATTTTATTCTTTTTGTGCAATTGCAAAAAGAATTATTTTTTCCACTTCTTTTCTGACACTTTGTTATGAGAGTATAGGAACACTATAGATTTTTGAATGTTGATTTTGTATCCAGAGACTTTACTGTATTTGCTTATTGTTTCTCGTAGTGTTCTTGTGGAATCTTTAGGGTTTTCTATATAGAGAATCATGTCATCTGCAAATAGTGACAGTTTGACTTCTTCATTTCCTGTTTGGATGCCTTTTATATCTTTCTCTTGCCTGATTGCACTTGCTAGAACCTCCAATGTTATATTGAATAACAGTGGCAATAGTGGACAGTCTTGCCTTGTTCCTGATCTTGGAAGGTTTTTAATTTTACCATTAAGTATAATGTTGGCTGAGGATTTGTCATAGATGGCCTTTATTATGTTAAGGTACTTTTGTTCTATACCGATTTTAAGTTGATCATAAATGGGTGCTGTATCTTGTCGAAGGCTTTTTTGCATTTATTGATATGATCATATGATTCTTATTTTTTAATTTGTTTATGTGCTGTATCACATTAATCAATTTCTTATGTTGAACCATCCCTGTACCTCTGGGATGAAGCCCACTTGATCATGGTGTATAATCTTTTTAATATGTTGCTGTATTTAGTTCCCTAGTATCTTATTTAGGATTTTTGCATCTGTGTTCATGAGAGATATTGGTCTGTAGTTTTCTTTTTTGTGTATTATTTTTACCAGGTTTTGGTATCAGAATAATATTGGCCTCATGAAATGAGTTGGGCAATATTGCCTCCTCTTTGATTATTTTGGAAGAGTTTGAGGAGAATACGTATTAAATCTTTTTTGAATGGTTGGTAGAATTCATTGGTAAAGCCATCTGGTCCTGTAAAGTCCATATTCTTAATAAATTAAACTAGAAGTGTGAGTATGAAAATTTTGTATTTCTTTTAAGAAGACTAAATATTTTTCTTAGTGTAAATCTCTTACTGAGTAGTTAAAACTAAAACTAACCAAAGAAAGTATTGCTTATAAAGGTTTTTGAAGATTTATCTGAATGACTTAGAATGGTTTAGAGTGAGATTATCTAGTGCTTACATATTCTATGGGGATAGGTTATTAAGACTTTCAAGGAAATAGCTTTAAATTTTTCAGCAATCTTGTTTATACCTTTTAATAATCCTATAATATAGAAATGTTTTGTTTAAAACAACTAAATGTCTTAAATTCTTGCCTCAGTTTAAAATGAAGTTTGGTAACTATTAAGTTTTCCATCTCTTCCCCGCAAAAAGGAAATCTCTTTGGTATGGGGTTAATTTTTTTTTTTTTTTTTTAAGTAGCAGAGACCAAAGAGTGATGACATTGGAGGGTCAGGTCCAAGAAGAAACAAAAGTTCTGAAACTTAAGACAAAAATGGTAAGATATGGACATAGTCCTCATAAACTGTCTCTTTTCCTCCTTTCCCTTTCCTAAACTCTTTCTGAAAGAAATGAGTTCTGAAATATTGATTTGTCTTATTTTTTTTTTTTTTTTTAAGTAGCAGAGACCAAAGAGTGATGACATTGGAGGGTCAGGTCCAAGAAGAAACAAAAGTTCTGAAACTTAAGACAAAAATGGTAAGATATGGACATAGTCCTCATAAACTGTCTCTTTTCCTCCTTTCCCTTTCCTAAACTCTTTCTGAAAGAAATGAGTTCTGAAATATTGATTTGTCTTAAATAACTCTTTTAGGCTGATAAAGAAAATGTCAATAGACCTACAAGAAGCAAAAATAATATAACAGTGGACAAAATTTGTATTCCTTTAAAACCTTCTAATGAATTAACCAATTCAGATATAACAATTGATACACATAATCTGGAGAATAATAATCAAACTCTGCAGTTGTTACCAATTAAAGACGAGCCCCAAAGTCAACGTATTACATTAAGCCAAGCATTTCACATTAAAAACAACAATAAAAAGAAACCAATGACTACAGAAAAACCGAAGCAAGATGCTAACACGCTCAAGAAACCCGTGCTTGGATCTTATCGTGGCCAGATCGTTCAGTCTAAGGTTAATTCATTTAGAAAACCTGTACAAGTCAAAGATGAAAGCTCTGCACCAACAAAGAAACTTTCTACCACTATCTCTAAAGCCACAAAGCCTCAGCCTGTAATCACCCACAGTGTGACGGTGAAAAGTGACAAAGCCTCAGATATGAGGACCACCACTAAAGGTGTGAACACTGTACCTCAGAACAGACAACTTTTGCGTCCTCCCATTAGAAGTCACCACACTAATACCCAGGACTCTGTGAAACAAGACGTCGGTAGAACCTCTGCCAATGTTACAATTCGGAAAGGGCCTCATGAGAAAAAATTACTGCAATTAAATCCAGTTTTATCTAGTGTCAAAACCAGTTCTCAGGAAGTAAAAAGAAGTAAGACACTATCAAGAAGCATCACATCTGCAATTATAGCCAGGCCTGCTTCATCTGCTAATACTAAACTGATAGAAAAGGCAAAAACTGTTGACCAGCGCAGACATACTATAGCAAAGGCAACTATCAATTTTAAGTCGGCTCAGCCCAAAGAAACCGCAGAAGAGAGAAAGTAAGTAGGTGTGATTTAATTAGCTTAATTTTCAATTTCGTACCATTTGTGAATTTGGTTTATAATTTCCTTGAATGTCTTAGGACTTTTTTGGTGTGGATTGTCTCTGTCATATGCAGACAAATTGAAGCAAGTTTATATTGTGGAACAGTACAACATAAGTTATACTGTTTGAGTATGTTTTATTAGGCTGTTTCATGTAACGTCAGTTAAAATGTTAAATAAAATTGGGAAATATTTTCTAACCTCCCCATTTAAAAATTCATTCTTGGGTCATTGAGAATATAATTAATATTGATATGTTTAATATTTTTTCTTCAAATTTGTGAACTATGTATGCCACTAACATGTAACTACTTAAAGACCTGAAATATTTTTTAACTTTTCTTCTATTTAGCAATGCTATCAGCAGTGTCACAGTAATTTTTATCCACTGCTTCTAACTGTAGAGCTCGTCTGAATGAGTGGAGAGCTGGCAAAGGAAGAGTGCTGAAAAGGCCTCCTAGCTCAGTAGTTACCCAGCCTGAACCTGAAGGACAAAATGAAAAACCAGTTGGGTCCTTTTGGACTACCATGGCAGAAGAAGATGAACAAAGATTATTTACCGAAAGAGTGAACAAAACGTTTTCTGAATGCCTTCACCTGATTGATGAGGTAGAGTATCTTATATTTGTGTAGTAGTTTGTAGCTGCAAATTACCTTCATAAATATCTCATTAAATTACATCATCAGTCTTTTTTGACCAAGACTCTGTGTCAGCGATTTTACGTAGACTTAATGTTCATTGTGAGATTGCTTCTCTTTAGCCTTTAATGGACTGCATTTTCATTGAGTTCATATAAATATATCAAAGGGATAAATTTTTTACTTGAGTAATAAATACTGCATTCCTCTAAGATGTTATTAATTTGCCAAAGACTTGCAATAACAAATTAGTGAGTCATTGTTATCATAGATTAAATTCAAATTAAAATATTTGCAAACAAAATCCCTTAATCTCATTCAACATCATCATGGTCTTGAATTCACTGTAGAATTCTACAATTTGGACCAAAATCTGACAGACTATATAAAGTAACTCCAGAATGTTTTCTTTATTTCCCGACTATCTTTAATCTTCTTTTGGTCACACGCTACTGTCTAAGATCCAGAGCAAGTCTGAATACACACAGTATAATTTCCGACCTTACTCTGGTCTTCCTGAGCATCTTTAAACTTTCTGTAGTTCTGAGAACCAGTGAAAATTACAGTCCGAGGAACTCTGATTCTTCTGCTCAGTTGGGATTTTTTTTTGATACTTTGGAATTTTTCTGTCCTACTACTTAACCTATATATATAGCTCTTACTACATAAACCATCACAGGTTCATTTTAACCTTAATATCAAAACCTGACAGTTTGACAAAAAAAAAAATTGCACTCTATTTCCATTCATAAACATTTGATAGATAAAAAAAATTCTAAATACTAAATAATTAATAAATGGAATCCCACAATATATGAGGAAAAACATCAAGACCAAATAGAATGTTAGTCATTTTTTTTACTAATATTTTTCTCAGCTAGTATTTCTTTTGTGTATGTGTGCCTTGTACTTAGGACTGATAATGCTTTTTGCTAGCTATTCAGAATAAGTTTGGAGTAAGGGAGATAATAATGAATACGAATATATTTATGGATAATTTTCTATCAACTTTTTCTCTATCAATGATCTTGATTATAGAAAGCTTAATTAGTTGTTCATACTTTCTAGGCTAAAAGATATCACTCACTTTATTTCTTGATATTTTAGGGATGCCCAAAGGAAGAAATATTGGACACACTGAACGACCTGATTAAAAATATTCCAGATGCCAAAAAACTTGTTAAATACTGGATATGCCTGGCACGTATTGAACCACTCACAAGTCCTATTGAAAATATTATTGCAATCTATGAGAAGGCCATTCTGGCAGGAGCTCAGGTGAGATTAAAACTTACTGTTCTTTATTAATTACAGTGTAAATGAGTCAAGATTATTTGGAACACATCATAACATAATAAAATTTGTGGAAATACATATCACGGAAATGAACATTTAAAGGCCACAAGGATTGCATGTTATAAAAGCTGTTTCTCAACCTTCTAAAACTTGCTTATATAGTCAGGATAATCAGACCTTAGAAAATGGATATACTGTAAGCTGAAATGTACATTTAATGAAACTTGCTGGGAGAACATTTTAGCACATGTCATTTTGCACATTCCTCATTGATAAAGAAATCTGGGAAATTGAATTTTTAATGTTAAAATTTATTGAATATAACACAAATGGAATTAAATTAACTTAAAAAATGTTAGCAAACTCTGATGGCTTTGTAAGAGAACTCTCACTTTAGGAGTGTATCTTAATGTACTCACATTTATATGCCATATGTTTGGTCCTGCTCACATATGGAAAATGGCAATACACTAGTTTCTCTGACATTTTTACCACCATAGTGGTTTGATACTATAATCTCTCACCTCTTCCAACTCTATTGCTACAAAAAGCCTTGGGTAGAATAAATTGTATCTTGAGGCTTTTGGGTTAGTTCGGTTTTTTGTTTTGTTTTGTTTTTATGGGCAAATGTTTCTAAAATGTATTTCCTTTAGACCAGGTTTCTCAAAAATGCATTCTTGGAGATTGTTTACAAAGAGTTTTAAAAAATTCTTTTTAGCTCTTCATTAAGCTTAAAGGTCTATTCACTATAGTCTCAGCAAAGCCAACAAATGCTATTTGACCTTTCACCTGAATCAGAAATCAAATATTCAGTAGTTATTCTCTCAATAGCTTAGCTATTATATATAAATCACTTTGCTGAAGGATAATTGCATTTGACGGAATCCCACCTGGAAGGGATTGTTAGTTCCCTACTACACTAAACGAGAAGGGATATTACTTAAGGTGGCTTATGGCAGTATAACTAGAATGTATAACTGCAGCTAAGGTTCTCATAGAGTGCAGTGGTGTAAAGAGAAAGATGTGACACTAGAGCAGAAATTGGAAAACAAGGATCAAAATTAGCCAAGCAAATTGAAAGCAGGATGGGTGAGTAGTTCAAGACTAAGTTCTAGAACTAAGAATATGAGCCAGAATATTCCTTTTATATAATGTCTTTAATTTATTGCATTGGCAGGCTTGGTAGTTCAGAGGAACACAGGAAGTACTCATAATATCTGGCATATGATGGACAATTAGTGAACTGTTGAATTTTTGAAACGAGCTGTTCAAAGATGCATTTAATACCATGCGAAACAAAAATATAACCATGTACTCGAACGTAGGAGGAAAAGTGTAAACAATAAAAATTTAAAGTAAATTTAAATATAATCAGCTCTTTAATAGATGTTAATAATGTTAATTTACTACTTGTTCACTAATTTTGTTCATATCAGGCAAACAGTAAGTTACCAAAGACTTAAGAAAAATTATGGAGAAAAATTTTAAACTGATAAAATTCTTTCCCTTAAGTTCATTTTTATTGTATAAATTAGAAAAGACAGCCATTTTTTTCAATTTGAATAGCAAAATAAGTGGTTTATAATTACTGGTTTTAATATTTTCAACTTGGACAACAAAGTTAATGTCTGGTCTGAGAATATAAAACTTTTATGGGTTTGCTTTCTTCATTTAAAAAAATCAAGCCTATTGAAGAGATGCGACATGCAATTGTAGATATTCTAACAATGAAGAGTCAAGAAAAAGTTAAATTTGGTAAGTTCATTTTTTTTCTTTTCTTCAGGTGAATTCTGATTTTATTAAATTTCTTTGCTAAACTGTTTTATTATTTTTCATTTTTTAAATATATAGGTTGATCTTTCCTCATAGTTCTGTTGACATATTTCTGAGATTCAATGGCTCTGTATAGTATAAAGAATTTTTAATTAGGAGGTCTCATTCAAAACCCAAATCTGTTTATGAAAGTTACCTTACCTATCTAGGCCTTAATTTCCTGTCTTAAAAATGAGGCAGTTTGACTAGATGATATCTAAAGACTTTTTACATATAAAATTCTGTCATCTGTTCTACGCTGTAGAGAAGCTCATTTAGGAATTCTCTTTGTAGGAATAGTAGGTTGAGAGGTGATAAGAGATTCAATTAGCTGTCAAGTATATAAAATGTAAACATTTTCTAGATTCAGATATAGGTTGTGCCAATTGCTGTAAACTTACAGGAAATTTAACCCCTTTCTTATCTGTAAAATAGGATAATGTTACTATCTTCCTCAAGATTGGTGGGACCATTGAACGAAATAATGTATATAAGTATCAAATTCTGTGGCACATAGTAAATTCATTAAACTTTAGCCTTTATTAATATTATTAATTAGCTTAGATGAGAGAGGAGAAATCATTACATAAGTGTGAGCTAATTTGTTTCCTTATTTAATAGAGTTATTACCAGTTTTTTACTGTAACTGTATTACCCAATCACAAATATTTGAGCACCTGTTATATACCATTATTGCTTGTATTTGGTTATTTTCTTTTGATTAATTTTAAAAAGAGTCAAACAGTGAACTTTTTACGGCTCATGTGACATGCTGCTAAATTGCTTTTCAGATTAGTTATAAGTACCTTATTTTCAGTAGACAAAATGAATTTAAAATATAGAGACCTAGGTCGAGGGCTAAACTTTAAATAAAATCAAAGATCATATTGAAATTCTAAGTGTGTTATACACATTTTTGTTTACATGTTACAAAAAAAAACCTTCAATGAGGTTAATATGCTAATAGTTTACCCATGTGTGGGAGGTGGTTATCTTTTATTGGCAGTATGTTTAGTTCAACAATGAATATTTCAATTTATGGTTGCTGTTAATATGCCCCCAGGGGACATACAGAAGATGTATATGATCTGATCTTACTAGTTATATTTAATGATGGAGCTGGAGTGGGAATGGTCAGGGAGATAGAGGGAAAAATCAGGAAAGGCTAGTATACCACAAACAAAAGGAGAATTTTAAAGTTTAAGAATAACCCAACTTGGAGAAATGAGTGAAGGGGATCCAGAGGTATAGAAGCTTTCAGTTATAAAATAAGTAAGCCATGGGGATGTATTGTACAGCATGACTACAGTTAATAAGACTGTATTGCATATTTGAAATTTACAAAAAGAATAGATCTTAAAAGTCTTTATCATAAAAAAAAAAATCCTGTAACTGTGTATGGATCAGATGTTAATTAGACTTATTGTGTTGATCATTCCTGTGTCTTAGGTCTAAAGACAGCGAAGTGGAAATAAGAATTTCATTTAAAAAGCCTTCTTTTTCATAATTCTCACTGGCTCTAGAGAGATGTGGAAAGAGAAAACAGCATTTAAATCTGATTCAGTTTTCTATCTTATTTTTCCTTAATAGGATAATACTAGTTAGTGGAATCTTTTCTAGCAGGTAGAATATTTGTTTAGGTGGAAAAAGAAATGCTATTGACAAACTCTTGGCTTTCTGAAATAGGTAATTAAAAGTTGTAGATATAAATTTTACAAATTAAGATTATTTCTAAATAGCATTGGGAAATAGAAGACAAATAAGAGAGACAAGTACTACTTGTGTGTATCTCAGATACCTCAATATCCTGCATATCCCAACTTGAACACATTTCCCCCTAAACCTTATCCTTCTTTTGGTTCCCTGTCTCAATAACTCATACTATTCTCCGAGCCAGAAACTTTGGGATTATATTATATTTCACTCCTTTCCCACATCCACAGCCCTGTTCCTCAGCCAGTCAAATTCAGTTTAACTTCATAAGCATCTCTTAAAATTCATCTACTCCTCTTCACCCTTACTTTCATTACAGCTCTTGCCTGGACTACAATAATAGTCCCCTAACTTGCCTGCTTCTCTACTCTTGCTTCAATCCATTCTCAACACCGCAACCAAAATGCCCTGTCACTTAACTGCTTAAATTCCTGACTCCAGCTTCTTGTCATTTTTTCACTCTTTCACATCCCTGAATTTCTTTCTTTAGTTTTTTTTTAATTTCCTAGAAAGGACTATTCTATCTATCTTGCCTCTGGGTCTATCCAAGCCAGTCTTCTATTTTTAACCTGATTTCCTCCTTATTTTTTAGACCTCATTCTCTAACAGCCACCTTTCTTCCCCTACCCAACTAGATTAGATGTATCTGTTTTGTGCTCACTGTTTTTTTTTTCTCTGTGCAGTATTATTGTACTTGATTGCTTGTTTGCCTTGTCTTTTGCACTGTAAACTTGATAGACTAGGACAGTGTCTGATCTTCCTCATTATTGCATCCCCAGTGTTAATGCAATGCTTGGCTCATAAATATTTGTTGAATTAAAGAATTCATATTCCCTCTCTTCCACTTCCAACTTCTTCCCACTAAAAGAACTACATTCACTTTGTCATGTAACTGAAACATCTTAGTAAAAATCTCTAATATTTTCCTAATAATCAAATCTAGAGGTCTTTTCAGCTTAATGGATTTATCAGATGTCTCACAAGTATTTTACATCTAACATGTTTTATTTTGAATTCTTCGTCTTCCTTCACTGCTTCCCCATACCACCATCTCTTCCACCCAAAAAGAAGAGAAAAAGAAAAAAATTCTCTTCTGTCATTAAAGACTCCTAAGCAAGAAATTTTTGAAGGGATGCTCCTAATATGTACACTAATTCAGACATACACATGCATTCTTTTGTTTATTAACTCCTAGCTCAGAAAAAAAACTCTTAAATTGGGTTCTTCCTTCTCACTGCCTATTTCTGATGCCTTGCTTAGGCTGTTAAAACAACTTTGTCTTCTTACCATTACATATTATTAGCTTTCATTCCCTACCATTCTAAACCACCCTTTATAGTGACCAAAGCTAATTATATCTTTGTCTCTCTAGTGCATTTTTTACCAAACTTCTTGCACATAAAGTTCATTACAATCTAGCCCCTTCCTACCTATCAAAACTCATCACCTCCTAACCACATTCTGACCTTGCTCCTTATCCTGTATTCAGAGCACACTGGCCCTTTAATGTTGTCTTAATAGATTGTTTTCTTTAAGTTTCATACCCAAGGTCATCTTCCTTAGTCTTGTCAAGTACTCATTTTTCAGGATCCAGCATGAATGCTACTCATGAAGCCTTCCCTAGCCATCTCCCTGTCCCACAAACAAAGTTAATTAATTCTTTTTAGAGAAAAAGAAAAAATTCTCTTCTGTCATTAAAGACCTCCTAAGCAAGAAATTTTTGAAGGGTGCTCCCAATATGTACACTAATTCAGACATACACATGCATTCTTTTGTTTATTAACTCCTAGCTCAGAAAAAAAACTCTTAAATTGGGTTCTTCCTTCTCACTGCCTATTTCTGATGCCTTGCTTAGGCTGTTAAAACAACTTTGTCTTCTTACCATTACATATTATTAGCTTTCATTCCCTACCATTCTAAACCACCCTTTATAGTGACCAAAGCTAATTATATCTTTGTCTCTCTAGTGCATTTTTTACCAAACTTCTTGCACATAAAGTTCATTACAATCTAGCCCCTTCCTACCTATCAAAACTCATCACCTCCTAACCACATTCTGACCTTGCTCCTTATCCTGTATTCAGAGCACACTGGCCCTTTAATGTTGTCTTAATAGATTGTTTTCTTTAAGTTTCATACCCAAGGTCATCTTCCTTAGTCTTGTCAAGTACTCATTTTTCAGGATCCAGCATGAATGCTACTCATGAAGCCTTCCCTAGCCATCTCCCTGTCCCACAAACAAAGTTAATTAATTCTTTTTATGGGTTCTTACTTCAATTACAGCGTTTTTCTCGTTTTATAATTATTTTATATGTCTCTTCTATGGAATGTGAACTTCTTAAAGAACAGGAATGATGTCATTCTTATATTGTATCTATAATCCCTGACATATGGGAGTTAATAAATATTTGTTAAATAGTTGTCAGCAGTATTTGCTTATGAAAAGTCATGGTTAAGAGATGGATTGGTTATTTTATTTTGAAAATCTGGCCTACTATGAATACTTCAACATATTCTGATTTTGTTCTTTAAATTTGACCAAAAGCTTAATCTATAATGTATTTCTATAGGACAAAATTTTGAGGAGGCTTGTGCAACCAAGGAACCAATCCAAGAAGTCAACTTTGATGATATTGGTGGTAGTAATCTAGAATCAGGAAACCCGGAAATAGAAAATGTGATATTTCAAGATCGTGAAATAGAGCAAGATGACAAAACAAAACATCCAACCACTGATGTTAAAACCCCTAGTGCAGAAACTAGGGAGAGTTGCTTAATTAAATATAATGTGTCTACTACACCATACTTGCAAAGGTAAGCTCATAAACTGTCATGTGCTATGAATTGTTTTTACACTTAAGGATAATAAATATGGTATTTTAAAATCTTTAAGATTGCTTCTGATTAGAATTACTATTTGTTAATACAAAGATTTCAAACAAATTGAATGTCATTGGGACATTTCACCTTTTAAATATTGTATTTGCTTTCTCTACATATTGCCATTTTGAAAAAAAAAATTTTACATCATTTTATTTAATTGCTGACTGTATACTATTGATAACAGGTTTTATAATTCAATTAGCCAATTCTACAAATATTCAAGTTATCTACTGTGTATAAGTTATTAAAAAAATAGAGAAAAGAATAAGCTCTTTATTTCAAGGAGCTTGCAGTACCTCTTTTCTATAAGACAATCACATGGTTGTAACATATAAGTTATAGTATGATAAATAGCATAAACTACAAAGTAAAAATATTAACATGCTTTTTAATTCTGCAAATACTTTTGTGGGGTTTTTTTTAGTGTAAAAAAGAAGATTCAGTTTGATGAAATGAATTCTATGTTTAAAGAGCTGAAGTTTCTAACACCAGTTAGACGTTCTCGACGTCTTCAAGACAAGAATTCTAAATTGCCAGATATGTTAAAAGACCATTATCCTTGCGTGTCTTCATTGGAACAGTTAACAGAGTTGGGAGATGAAACTGATGCTTTTATATGCCGCCCTAATGAAGCACTGTGCCGGATGTATACAGAGACTGAAACAACAGAAGAAACGTAAAGCTATGCTAAGGAATGAGGATTTTATTCCTGGGGTGTTTTGTTTGTTGTGGCTTTGTACGTCTTAGGTCAGGAGTTGGCCAGGTACCCAAGTATTCATTGCAGTAAGCTCTTTTACTAACATAGACATTATAGTAGGTGTTGCCTTCTGTGCGTCGGAAAGCTAAATCCTACATTATCTCTGCAAAGATTTTTCTCTAAGATAGGTAAATTTTGTCAACTAGTTTACTATGTTCCTTGAATATGATTAGTAAATGTCATTCATGTTTCATTGGTATTCCTAAAATAACTAACACTTAATCTTGTTTTGTAATATAAAAACTTCACTATTAAATCATGTCTCTTGAAACATGATAGTTAAATATTGTAAACAGTTCTCTTCTCCCCACACACATAAGTACCACCAATAAAATTGTTTTTTATGTCTTTGAACTGATATTTAAATGGCATAGATCCTCTACCAACTCAACTATTCAAATAAGTAATTGGTCATTGTAAGAGACTGTATAATTTTAAAACTAATACGAATGTGGTTGAAAATCTCATACATAGTCTTATTTACGTTCATATATTCCATTTGTATAATAGCATCTATTTTCTATTTATTGTTTTCTCTCTAGAGAATAGAATTTTTGCTTTTTAAACTGTATACCCAATATGAATACAATAAATTAAAATATCTACATAATGATGTTTCAGTAACATTTAAGGATGTGATATATGGTACATGAGCTTTGAAGTCCAACAGACCTATATTCAAAATCTTGGCTCCTGCCTTCCCTTAAAAGTTAAGTTACCCTGGAGAAATTACTTAGTTGAACCTTATCTTTGTGAAGGGTAAAGTGGAGATAATCCCTTCTGGTCATTTTGTACCATGTCATCTGCTTGTCCCCCCCTGGCTGATTAGCCAAAATGGATAACTGACTCAAGCTGGACTGCCAGAATCCTTTTCATAGGTTTTTAGAATCAGGACTTCCAAGACCAGTCTTTTCCATGTAGTTAGACCTGAAATATGTAAATATGAGGCACTGGATGATCGTATGAAGGTTGGGTAGTGAAGGTCAATGGAACAACAAAGTAACTAACTACCCAGGGAAAAAGACTCCTGCCTGGAGGTTTACTATTGACAATTGTGTATCCAAATATGCACATGTTAAATCTGAATACAGATAAACCAGAGTCCCTCTACTCCAATCTCACTACCCTTCTTAAATGTAAAATTAGTATGGTAACTTTACAAACTTTTTCTGTGTATTTAACATATACATAGACAAGTACATAAACACGTGTGTATGTAGATTTTGTGGATTTTGTTTTGCTTTGTTGGATATGAATGGCACCATACTTCATATATGATTATGCAGCTTGCTTTTTTCCTAATTTATTAAGTCAAGGAACTTTTCATTGGCATAGATCAATGTAACCCTAAGATTACATGGGAGTTTAGTAAATGATAAATTTTACATTTCAATACGGTAAAGAATGACTGTGAACCACTCATCCATTTTGAGAACAAAAAATTTCAATCTCTATACCACCTGCGAAAATAAATTCCAGGTAGAATAAGTAAGTATATTAAGAGGAAATGTAAAAAGCCATTTTTTTCCTTAGGGTAGAGCTTTCTTAAGATATTTCTAAAGGAATCTTTAAAAGATGTGGTAGAGCACACAGACTTTAGCAGCACTTAGCAGCAGGACTAGTTCCTCCTCTGAGTACAAGCACACGACATTCAGGATCTAGACCAGTTAGTTACCACACCTGAGATCTTCAAAATTCTGTGAGGAGGTAGATTGTGAAACTAGAACCCTGTACCCAAGATATTATTCAGTGTTGAGGGCAAAATAACTTTCAAACATGCAAGGATTCAGTTTACTGCTCATGAACTTCCCTGAAAGTATTCCTGAAGGTTTTATTCCAGTGAGGTAAGTAAATCTATTTAAAAGAATAGTTAGGCACATCAAATTTAAAAAAAAAAGTGAAGTCTACATAATTGTAGATTATAAAACATGATATGAAATGAAAATACCCCAATGATTTCAACAGGAGAGGTGTCAAAGTGGAGAATTAAAGCTAATTTTGCTAATAAGCTTGTTATGTTTGGGAGCAGGATGCAGAAATTTATGTGTACTCATTATTAAGCACTAAGGGTTTAAATATTAAAAATATAAAATGTGAGGGTAGGACCCAGCAATTCCATTCCTAAGTATCAGGAAAAATGAAAACATGCCCCAACAACGGTTGTACACAAAGATGTCTTATTTATATTAGCCAAAAACAAAACAACCCAAAAGTCCATCAACTGATGAATGAAAAAACATTGTATGCTGTGTCCACACAATGGAAATTAAAGCAAAAGGAAATGGAAATTAAGACATAAAAGAAGCCAGACAAAACATTACATACTATATTCCATTTATGTGAAATTCTAGAAAAAAACATTGACAAAGCAGATCAGAAGTTAACCTGGGGCCGGAGGTTGGGGGCAAGAAATGTTTGGGAGTAATGAAAATGTTCTGTATTTTAATTGTGGTTACATGGCTATATGTTTGCCAAAATTTATTGAAGTGTACTCAAAATGGGTGAATTTTATTATATGTAAATAATATCTCAAAACAGTATACCCTTACCTTTAAAAACAAGGATATCTACTAAACACATAAAAATAGAATATGTAACTCCAACCACTTTGGGGAAGTGGGGGTGTCCGAAGGGATATTCAACCCCAAGATGTTAACCACACAGATGCATGAGGAGCTCCAGCTGTTCCAGCCCAAATGGCAGACTAGAGAGAGCTCACCTCTTTGATGACTACAGCTCCCAGCCTTCAAGCTGCCCCCACCTGATGCTAAGTGGAGCAGGTTCTCAGATCTGAATTATTTTCTTTTCATCAATGTTTCAGAAGCAGAACAGTGTTTCATGCCTGCTTGAAACTGCCCTTATAGCATCCCTCATTTCTATATTCATGGCTTTTAGTGAAACTATGTTAAGACCTAGCTCTCTTGATACATAAGAAGCTTATAAAATTAAGACGATTCTTTTTTCTCTATCAACAAGGCCTGGAATTTAAAACTGCTATTAGGAATTCAGGAAAATTCACTTTGAGATTCAAAGGTCATCGGGCATTATAGTAATTTAATATTTTGAAAATATTTGTTTTATCTATACTGTTTACCAGGACAGAAATCTGGCTCTCTAATCAGTTCCTGCCTGTTCATTGTATCCCATATACTGCAAAGCTGAGAGTGATGTCTGCAATTGCCTACTGTGTTATCACCTGAAGACCATTACTTTTCCACCTTCTTTGGGGGCTCAGAGCATCCAACGATATTAGTGGTTCTCAATCAGGGGTGATTTTGCATTGCCTCCACCTCTCCCCATCCCTACCCCCACCCCTACTCAGGGACACTTTCAATATCGAAAGACAGTTTTAGTTGTCATGAGTGAGGGCAGGGGTGGGGAGAAGGCCAGAGACACTACCAAACAACCTACAGAGCACAAGACCATCCCACTCCACCCTGCCCCTGTAACAAAAATTTATCCAGCCCAAACTGTCAACAGGTCTGAGGTTGAGAATCCCTGAACTAGATGACCGCCTCCTCTGTCCTTGTTAATGCCATCTAATGACGCCTCAGTCACTCCCTCACCTCTCATTCCAATGAACGTTGCCTCCTACTTCAGCAACTGATTCCTAGGCCACAACACTGACCTGGGCATTGTCAAGAACTGCTCCACTTCTGAAATCTTGATGTTATGGTCCTGTTCTCTTCACAGCTACTCTCCTGCCGGCTTCCTTTCTCCCTTGCTCCCTCTGTATGTATTTTTTACTTCATTTAGACCTCTAGTTCATCAAATGCTTCCTCTCCCCCCACCATCGTGACTTTTTAGACCAGTACTAGAAATAGAAATATATTGCAAGATACATATGTAATTTAAAATATTCTAGTAGCCATGGTTTAAAAAAGTAAAAAGAAACAAGCACAATTAATTAATTTTCATAATGTTTTACTTAACCCAATATATTCGAAATATCAGTTCAGCATTAATCAATGCACAAAACTATCAATGGAACATTTTACTTTTTTTTGTACAAATTCTTTAGAATTCTGTGTGTATGTTACACTTAGAGCACATTTCTATTCACACTAGCCACTTTTCCAGTGTTCAACAGCCACACATCTCGTGGCTACATACTGGATGGTGCCAGTCTAGACTTCACTTCCTTCACAGGGATAGATGCCAAGGTGTATTATTCCAACCATTCTTATAACAGCACCCTCAATTCTCTCGTCTCAGTGTTCTTCTGTTTTGCTTATCTGCATAATCTCAATTTTAGATTAATCCAGCCTCCTCACTGCTAGAGACGATTACACAGCTATGCACTGGCATCACCTCTGAGCTGCTCAGAAGCTTTCGTCCACATTAGTTTCCTCTCGTATTCTGACAACAATAATCAAAACTTCACTACTCAGAGTTTTACTGTATTTAACTTGTAAACAAATATTAAAATCTTGATTAAAAAAAATTTCCTCTTCAAGGTTTCTGTCCCAACACCCAAACTATATAGATTACTTATAATTTTCTATTTCATAGAGAAAATTGAGACCCTCAAGATTCCTTCTTTTCTAATATTGTCTTCATCAATACACATCCCTATTTTCTCTTCTGGTCTCAGAAGCAAATCTGTCAGTCATTTATCTAGTCCAAAGCTAATCCTCTTACTGGATTCTTACATAGAAAGGTTTAATTATTTCCTATATTAGTTTCTGATTGCTTCAGTCTCAACTAGACCTTCCTGGTCTCCTCTGCCTCTAGTATTTTCAGCTTCTCTTTCCTTCCATTGATTTATTATCTCTCAACATATAATTTCCCCATTAATAAAATACTCTCATAATCTTATGTTTCTCTCTACCCATAGTTATCACCCTCTCTCCTTCCCTTTATGGCTAAGATTCTTGAAAGTATCCTATACTCTTTGGTTCTTCTGACCATCCCACCTCAACTACTGTAATCTGGTTTCTCCCTTTCCTTAAGATTACCTATGACCTCTTGTTGCTAAATCTAATGGGTTCTTGTCAGACTTTGTAACTCAATCACCTTTTGACACTGTTTACTGCTGCAACATTATTGTAGCGTAGCGGTTAAGAGTGAGACTCTGGAGCCATACCACCTATGTTCTAATTCTAGTTCTACCATTTACTAGCTGTGGGACGTGAGGCAAGTAACTTAACCTCTCTGTACCTCAGTGATAATAACTGCACCTATCTTTAGTGTTATTTTGAAGATTAAATGAGTTAATAGCTAACACTTATTTAGTCCTATTCTAAGTACTTTGTAGGTATTAATTCACTTAAAACAGTGCCTAGCCTCTAGCAACTTGTATATGTCATCAATAATAATCACATGTTATTATTTCCAATCCCTACCCAGTTCAGAGGCTTCCCTGGCTGGGATCCAAGATTGGCAATAGCTGTAGAGAAGAGGGGCCAGATCTGTTCTCAATGTCCCCATTTCCCCATCCTTACCAGTCTATGCTTGCTGATTGTTATGTGTTGAATTGTCACCCCAAAAGGCTGTTAGAGCCATAACCCCCAGTACCTCAGAATGTGCCATGTTTGGAAACAGAGTCATTGCAGATGTGATTAATTAAGATGGGATCATATTGGTTTAGGGCTGGCCCCTCATCCAATATGCCTGGGAAGATGATGTAAAGAGACACAAAGAAAAGATGGCATTCTCCAAACCGAAGAGGACCTGGGCCCCAGCTCTGCCTGGAACAGGTCCCTCCTTTCGGCCTCAGAACGGATCCTGCCAACAGCTTTATTTTGGACTTCTAGCCTCCTGAACTGAGACAATAAATTTCTGTTGTTTAAGCCCCCCAGTCTGTGGTACTTCATTATGGCAGCCCTAGCAAACTAATACACTGGTGGAACAAGGGAAGGAGTCTCTTTCATGACTGTCCACACTAAGTGGAAAAGGAAAGAGGCATTTTTATTACCTTTTCCCTGATGTTGTGATGACTGTATCATTCGTGGCTGCGTTCTGTGCCCGTTTCTCAATCTGCAGGCGCAGCACTTCATGGCGACTTAAGCTGTAGCAGCATTTTGGGTATAGACACGTGTGGTGGTTCCATTTTTTGTTCTTTATTGAAACGAGTCTCTTTCGCTGTGTACAAAGAAAGCAAGTGGTGCAGGTGTTGCCAGTGCTGACCATTTGGAACATTATACGGCTACTCTTAGCACTACACTGCAGAATAATTGTACATTAAATCTGACATATTATAGTGCGTACATTTAGCACTTACAAGTTATAACCAGACATTGTTCTATATACATATTCTAATATATAATTCTAACATATACTCTAACATACACATTCTAACATATTTAATATATTTTAATTTTCACAATAGTCCTACGCAATAGGTATTATACTTTTACATAGAGATTTTAATTACTTGCAATATTAATTTCTGATTACTGCTATAACAAATTAACACAAACTTCGTGGCTTAAAACAACACAAATTTATAATCTTCTAGAAGTCTGAAGTCTGGAATAGATCTCACTGGACTAAAAATCAACCTATCATCAGGATTGAGTTTCTTCTGGAAGCTCAAGGGGGCAATTCCTTTCTTGGCCTTTTCCAGCTTCTTGAGGACACCTGCATTCCTTAGCTGGTGGCCCTTTCCTCTCCTCCATAGTCAGATCTCACTCGCATTAGACTGCCTCTTCTGCCTCTCTTTCACCTACAGGGCATTTGAGATTACATTGGGCCCATTGGGATTATCCAAAATAATCTCCATATTTTAAAGTTAGCTAGTTAGAACATTAATTCCACCTGTAAGCTTAATTCCCCTTTCCCATGTAATTTAACAAATGCACAAATTCCAGAAAGTGCGATGTGCATATTGTGGGGGGAGGGCGCGGAAAGGGTATTATTGGGGGCGGGGAGGGTATTGTTCCGTTCTCCATACTTGCCCAAGGTCACAGCCAGTAAGCTGACTGCTGTGCCCGTGAAATTTATCTACGTGGGCTGTTCGCTTAAACTGGAGACAAAACTGATGTTACTGGCGGCCACTTTCCTTCAGCACTATTGGAATTGTTCTAGAGCCCCGCGGAACAGTTTTAACACGCGCCCTTCGTAGGCCCGCCTCCTCCGCAACCGCGCCTCCCGCCGGCCGCTGGAAGCCTCCTCGGCCCGCAACCCGGCAGAA